TTTCGTCCTTAACGGGTCCTCGCTAATGGGAAAGGTAAACGGTTCGGTTTCGGCTGAGCCACTCTAATTTGTTCTCGTGAACCCTCAGCTGGAGGTAACAGATTGAAAAATAACAGTTAGGGGAAGTGCAGAAGTAACAGTTTTAGGTCCATTTTTTGTTCTGCATAGACATGCGTGTTAAATTTTATGCAACATGTGGTGTTTCTCAAGGTTCCGTCTTGGGCCCCTTGCTTTTTATTTTATTTATTACGATAAGTGAACTGTCTATTCTATGTCGACGACAAGAAACAATTTGTCTCTGTTGCTGATGATAGTGTCTTATCAGGAAACAGTGTTACAATTATGATTTTTTTTTTATTTTTCATTGTAGCACTTCAGCAGAAGTGCGTACATATTTATTTAAAAATGTATACATTTCAAAGCATATGCAATAACCATATAACTCCATAAAAATTAATTATAATATTTGTTTCTTAGGTCACGGAGAAGAAAAAAATTGTAACATTGATACTTCACTTCCTCTACCTACTTAAATGATTGATATTGCAGTAATAATTGTCAGTTGTGTCGCAAGTATAATTGACAGTTTTCAGCATATATCTAAAAGAAGTTCAATACTTATATTCATATTATGCGACAATTATTAAATTTCAATCAAGTCGTAAAATACACGGGTGTAGGCTATATATCTATTAATTATTTTGCTTGTTCTCTTACAAATTAGTTGAATTAAACCAGATGTTGTCGATTGTAACATATTGATGTCAATTGTAACAAATTATTATTGGCATTTATATTTGATTTATTGAAAACATTTATTTCTATTCAAAATTTACATTATTGGCAAGCGGAGTAATTAAAGTATGGGGTGGTGAATAAATTGAAGTGTAATTCTTTAGTACATCACAATGAGATTACCAATAACACTAAATCATCAGTTAATTAATGCGAGGTGTTTTTGCAAAAATTGAAAACTGATTAACGTCCAAATGTTGCAATCCAATATAATTACTATTTTGTTCGACTAATTATACTTAATTATACTTAAATATATGTACAAATATTTTGAGGTCAGATTTTTTGTATTTCAGCATTTGAAATATTAGATTTTATTCTAATATTCAATACTTTTATTATTTTTGTAATTAGCATAGCATCTGTTGTAATATATTGTTGATTTTTTTAATAAAAATATTTATATTTTCTTACGGCGTGTTACAATACACGTTGACGAGTTACAAATTGACGCACCGGTGTCAATTGTAACAAACAACAGCACCAAAATCGATTTTTTCCGTAATTTTTTTTTTTTCGTTTCATCATTTCAGGGTCCAATTTAGATTTTTAAGCTTCTACACATTTCTGATATACCTAATAGTACTTCAAAGGCTCCAAGATGATGGGTGTAATTTTTGTTACAATCGACGGAGGTCTTTTCTAAGTACCAATGTGTGTTAAGTGACGGTTTTACTACATGGTTAATAAAAAAAAAGGTATTATTTATGTCCCATATAGTCGATGTGTGTCACTGATCAGTATATTTTATAGCAGTAACTTCTTTTTCGGTAGTAAAATTTGTAAAGCAGTTGGTTTAAAAATAATAATAATATTTTATTAACATTGCGGTAATGTTAAGTTAATTAATCCCACCCTTGACATTTAACGCATCGTTTCTTCTAAAAGCGTTGCCTCATTTCCTCCGATTTTCATTCATTGTTCGTCGACAGTTTTACACTTTTTCGATAATAAGATTTGTAAATAGTTTCTTATTTCGAGGCCGTTAATTTTGTGTAATACGCGACGGATTATGGCCAAATTGTAGGTCGAACGGGCTGTTAATTGATTTTATTTTTTTTCTGTTCATCTGGTTCCACTGGCATGTGAAGTTTTCCACGTAGATCGCTGTTTGTTTGGTTGCTCGCGTTCGCTGATAACATTCCGGTGCTGCGGGTCAACAAGCAAGGGGAGAAATCGGTGGATACATCGTTTTTCAATTTATCGCTATTACTGGGTTCGTGTATGTTGTTTTTTCGAACTGTTTATTAACGTTTTAATCAAAGCAGGCGTTTTCCTGTTAACTCAACAGTTAACTTTAACAGTTCTGTGAAATATTTCAAATATTTTATATCTACAAAGCGTAAAAGTTTGTTGAGAAATCTCTTGTTAAACGTCAAACTTTTGTGCAACATTGAAGGGCTGGTACTGGTTACGAAAATTCCCTAAATCTTATTCTCGCCAATATTTACGATTCGTTTATAATGAACAATGACAAACCGTAACGTTTACGCCCGAGATACTACGATCCCTGGTTGATTGAATAGAATCTGAAAAATTACACCAACCATAACCGGTGAAACACTGGAATAATATTAGCCATCAATATGACGTTTACAAATAATAGTAAATTTTTTTTTCGAGTAAATAATAATGAAATATTTTTGCCTCACGGTAGAAAGGAACGAACGACGTCAAAAAGTAATTCTCTTGCTGAAGAAGCTCAATTCTTCTCAAATGATTGGTAAATGGTACAGATCGCGTAGTTTGTGAAATGGGTTTCTGTTAACCTTGCAGAGTGTGACGATTCTCATTCGTCTAGTTTGTACATTATGAGAAATCAGTGACGTCGTTCTGTATTTCCTTGGCAAAACCGGTGGTCGTGGTCAGGACCGGCCGCAGTGTCACAAACAGTAGAATTTAATAGTTTCTTGTACGTATAATAAATTGATTCGTAAAACTTTTGGAAATCGGTAAATACTTTTGAAATACATATAATAATTAAATTCGGTTTTCACTAATTCACATTTAACAATATCAAAAACAAGGATGAACAATGCTTCTTCTAGCGGTGTTACTTGTGCAGATATTTCTTTCAGTATTAAAATTTTTGATGCAATATATCTATACAAATCCAAAAAATTAAATAATAAGCAAATTGAACCAACAAAAAGTTTAAAGAATTTGTTTCCCCAATGAAAGAAATAAATAAAATTTTATAACACCTATTTTATATCAGCAAATTCAACTGCTTTTGCCGCTATTGTTATTAATTAATTATTAATTAATAAAATTAATTTGGTTTGAATTAAGAAAATAATTTGACGTACCTGATGTTAGTCAAAATTTTGTCCACCGACGTGTAACCACAGTTGAGTCAACTCTTAGTTGCTATACAAGCAAGCCACTTTTGACACTTGAAAAACTAATGTAAACACTATCGCAAAAATGTTAATACTAAAATCGGATTTCAGTATTCGGAATCGCTTGAGCCCACGTGAAGAAAGAGCGCGCATTGGTCACAGCTCACAACGCGAATAACGCTATAGCCCAACGATATAAGGAAAGTAAATACTACAACTTCATTGACTTTTTCTCGGACACTAAGGATTTTACAAAAAAATTTTTTTTTACAATATTGACTCCATTTTTCATGACGCATCCCTGTATATAATTATACGGTTGATAATAATTTAATTAGGAAATATAGCTTCTATATAGCAAATATAGCAAATATTCTATAGCAAATATATTGGTGTAGCAGTTGATGATTAGGTCTTATTTTAAGGAATTCACAATATAATAATTCATATATTGAAAGAATGTTTTCCAACCACTACTCGCTGAACTTTTTTTTGTATTTTTATTGATTTGTTTTGTTATTTTTAAGTATTTTATTTTGAATTTGTATGTATGTTAGGTAGTACTTTTATATATTTAATCATGTACTTTTTTTTGTTATTTTTCCCTACAAACTAATAAGTTTTGACTGTCGTGTGGTGTATGTAAAAATAAAAAGAAATAAAATAAGATAAAACATTCTGCCCTTAGATTTTATGTAATTTAATTATCAAGCATTTTAGATGGAAATATACGGGTGTTTGGTAAGTCGATGCATTCCTTGCAGGAGTGGGTGATCACAGGGTGATAAAGTTTTAATTAAAAAATGCAAATTTATTAATATTGTGGAAACCGTTCGGAATATTTTAATGAAATTTGACAAGGTTTGACAATTAACAATAATACATGTTTTACGATAAAAATAATAAATGACGCACCACTGATTTTTCTTAAAATAAAAATTATTTTGCAGGTCCCTGTTCAATTTGGAAGAGAAAAAGTATCTTGACTGTTTTTCTTATGACTCACCGTTTTCGAGTAAAAAAAATTAAAATCGATTTATTGCATGGCATAATCCGGGTTCAATAATTTGGAAAATACCAGAAATTATGCACTCAGCTTTTTTTGTACCAATTTTATTACAAAAAATTATTATTCCTCGCAGTTAACATCAGTCTAATATAAATTTATCAGTTTTTAGATTCACTATTCACTATCTAAACAGAAATTAGCAAGTTGGCTGTGCACTCGTTTTTGTTATTGTGTGACAAAATTAATAATAGCTGTCACTTTGAGTGTGAAGCAGTTAAGAGCATAATTTCTGCTATTTTTCAAATTATTGAAACCGAATTATGCCATGCAATAAATCGATTTTATTTTTTTTACTGTGCTTCATAATAAAAGCAGTCGAGATACATTTTCTCTTCCAAATTGAACAAGGAATTCAAAAATAATTCTTATATTAAGAAAAATCAATGCTGTATCATTATTTTCTTTAACAATATCTAGAGACATGCCTGTGCGCACGCCACTGGTGAAACTGAAAATATTTTTATCGTATAACATGTACTGTTGTTAACTATCAAAGCCTGTAAAATTTCATTAAAATATTCCGAGCGGTTTCCGCAATATTTATAAATTGCATTTTTTTATTAAAACTTTAACACCCTGTCGATCGAAAACTAAGCATTTTCGGAATATGCTATCGACTTACCAAACACCCTGTATATTTAGACTAGAAATATTCATGTTTTCTTACATTCTGTACAATTTGCGATTTGGGCCGAGCCCTGACCTGTGCACCTGACACCCACGTTTCTATATGTGTTTGGCGCTCTCGCACTCGGTCACCATGCTCTCCGTCCAGTCAGGTTTTTCATCGTTTTCTGAACAGTTTGTGTTCCGTACCGTCGCACCCGGACTTATCGGATCCGTACCGGAGTTGTCGAGTGGCCGCGACGCCTTATCTTTCCTCGGGGAAATTCTAGCGCTTCTCGGAGCATACGGTTTTGTCGTCGCTCGGTATAATACAGTGAGTGTCCACGATTCCCAATTACTTCATAGTGTCCCCGGAGTACGCCGTCAATGTCGGCAGGTATGTGTCACTATTCTCTTTGAAAATCACCCTATTTGGCGTCGCTGCGTTTGCACTTGGTGTAATTCCGAGCTGGCCATATTTGGCGGCGAGAATTTCTCTTTTTTTATGACACGCGGATTGATGTTTTCGAAAGGATTAATGATTTTAGGCGAGGATATCGGAGCTGTTTGGACTTGAATTGAGATCGTTGGTATGAATGCCGTCCTCGTTCAATTGATCAGTGTCTAGACTTCGTATTTATCTTGTTTAGTACCACACTAGTCTAGTTTGATGACAATTTAGAATATTTAGATGCTGTCTCGTCATATCGCAAAGAATTGGGTTGATGTGTATAATACCGCACAGTACGACCTTAAGGAGATATATCGGGTTTACTAAAATGCACAGATGTACTTGAAATTTATATAGCGTATTACCCAGTGCTCCCTCTGTGCGTCATATTTTTTTGGATTTTTTTAAATCTAGAACTTCGAGATATTGTTGTTGAAATGTGTTCATTTTAACATAGGTTTATATGGCGAAGATGGACGGTGCGGCTCTTTTTTTTGTCCATAACTGAGAAAAAAAATGGAGAAATTGTGAAACGAAACTTTTCCATAGATAGTACACAGTATTATCTTATTTTTTATGTAAAACTAATGTAAGTTTTGAACATAGTACAGCTGTATTAATTAGATACAGAAACCAATAATTGGATTTCTGTCTGACTTGAAGATTAATGTGGCAACGTCGCAATCAGCTGACAGCAAGGAGGGAATACACTTGAAAGACTTGATAAAAACGAAACTGATTTCAAACATATACATTTTTCCTAAATCCCATGTACACTGTTATCAACAATAAATTATCCACAATAGATTATTTTTTGTAATGTTTTTAAAAAACTAAATTAATTAAAAAAGGCTAGGAAGTTGTGATATATTTATTGGAATAAAAAATACAGTTGATAAATCCTTTTAATATATTTAATGGTTAATAAAAACATCGTAATCCGTACCCAGCAACATATAAGGTTACATAAAGTTTTCTTTACTTGATTAACATAATTAGTAATACTTGAGATAAAAGCATTTGTACAGAATAACAAAGGAACATAAATATTTCTCAGCAAACTTTATATCTAAAAAATTAGTTATAGTTGCAAAACTTTTGTAACATTACTAAAATGGAGATTAAAAAGACGAACAGTGTGTACTAATGTAATTTCTATCACAGAACCTTCAAAATTGCATCCAACATTTTCTTTGCCTTGGACGAGAGATGGGCGCGAGTGTCATTTCATTTCTTTAGAACTAAATTAACATAATTCTCGTTGTTTTACCAATTCACATGATCTACGGATTTTAAATAAAGGATACAAATCTTCGCAAGGATAATACGATATATTTACTATATATAATAATTATAGGTATTGTACATAGTTTACAAACAATACATTTTTGAACGCGTACGCATCTTTACCTGAATTTGACGCGCAATATCTCCGATGTCCGAGGTCTGTAGGTTCGTAGTGTGTACAACTGCACTCGATTATTAGCGCTGTTGCCACATCTACATAGTGTTTATGGGTTCATTAAATATAATTTAAAACTACTTAAATATGATATTTTTATGTTGCTAATTTTCAATATGTATGTTATATGCATATTGAGTAAATTTCTTTGCTATATTGATAATGTTTATTGCAAATAATTTCAATAGAATTTAATTTTTTCAAGTTGATAGCGGGTTTTAATCCCATAAGAAAAGCATAGGACCCCCCCTGTGATCCTCACTTCCCTCGGGAAACTAAATGTTTTACTTTGTTTAATAATTACAGAACAACCTGTTATTAATTTGTTAAAAATTAGTGACTGACTATTCTAATTATAACGGGTGTACCACAAGGATCTATTTTGGGCCCTTTATTGTTCGTAATGTTTATTAATGATATAATTGTGAATTTTAACTGGGTGCACTGTTTGTTGTATGCTGAAATTATTCACAGAAATTACATCTGAATCTGATTGTGCTCTACTTCAAAAAGCAATAAATATGATAGCTGTTTGGTGGAACCAAAATAAATTACCTCTAAATGCAGATAAATGCAATGTAATGTCTTTTACACGTAAAATTAACTACATCAAATATAACTATAACATTGATAGTTCTATGTTGCAAAGGCCTCAGTACATAAAAGCTCTTGTTGTTGTTTTCGATGCTAAATTAAATTTTATAAAACACATTGAGATAGTTGCATCATCTGCTTATAAATCTTTAGGTATTATTATACATTCTTCTCAAGGATTCCGTAGCATACATACTATGAAATTACTTTATGAATCTTTTGTTGGGTCAAAATTGGATTATTCATCAATTGTCTGGAGTCCTTTTTATAGTGCACACATTGATTCTTTGGAAAAAGTTCAAAGCTTGACGGAATATACCCTGAAAGAGGATATTCACATGCTCTACTTGTTCATTTTCACTGTAATGAGTTAAAAACACGTAGAATTACACATCAAAATGTCTTTTTACATAAAATACTAAACAACTGGCACCTGGTTACTGAACAAAATTCAGATCAAAGTTTCTAGGCTTGCTTCTAAAATAATATATTTAAGTTACCCACTGTAAGAACTAACGTTATTAAAGCATCTCCCTTATATCAGATGATTGTCAACTATTGCAATGTTGAGGACAGGTTAGATATATTTTTTTGCATTAATGAAATTAAAAAGCGGATTCTTTACTGTTAATTTATAGTTTTAATACTTTATTTTTGTTTTTACTATTTTATTGATTCGTGTCTACCTATATGTAAAAGTGTATGTCTACTATGTATTTATTTATGTGTGATGATTTTATATCTACTATAGTTTTGCTGGTCTAATCTATATTTTTCTGTGTGTATATGTATATTTTGTACTGGTATATTGCCATGTTCAATTATTATTATTATTAATTCTATTTATTATATATTTTCGAATGCGTTGTGTGTTATATTACTACATTGGATATGTATCCTGTAACTGAGCATTTGTCTGTTGGGTATGTAGTGAAATAAATAAATAATAACAATTATGCATATCCTCATATAGAAAAAGTATGAGTATTTTATAATTGTAATATTGGTGATTGTAACAAAGAATTGTAAAGTGTGTAACGTATCTATCAATTATGAATTTAAGTGTGCTTTATCTTGAAAATTTAGTAGGTACCAGTTTCCCTATAAACAGCTTGAACTAAGTGCATGCTACTGACATACCTAACTAAAATTGCATTTACAGATCTTGAGGTTAAAGTACATCTAAAACCAGAAGTTTTGCGTATGTAAAATTAGTTATTAATAGAATGATTGTATTTGGCAATACTGCGATGATTTACCTAAATTTGAGGTCGGTCCGAATTCTCTGTAATGTGTGGGATACCACCGAACCTTAATAAGATCCGAAAAGTGTGCAAAAAACCTCGTGATTTATTTGGAAATACACTTGTAATCGCATTTTGATGTAAAAAAGGCGATGTAACTGAGTATACTTTTGTTATTGTTCTTGTTCATTGAAACTTAGAGATAATTCAGTATTTACTTACATATACAGTGTGGAGTGGGCGTTGCCGTTAAGAAGAGTAAACAAATATGTTCTGCCAAATATATTTCTATCAACATTTGATCAGGCTGTGCCAAACTAAGGAACACAAGAAACCATACTGTTCTGTCATCTTATAAATCCTACATTAATTTTTTAGTACAAAAGTTGCTAAAGAGAAATGTTTGCTCATTTTAACAATCGCCAATTTTTTTTATTGCCTATTAAAGTATTAACAAAGAAAGATACCTATTAAAGATCCGCTTGTATTTTTGCTGTGATGTGTAACGTTCTTTGTAGATGACTTTTTACGCCCCATTTGTTTAAAAATCTATAAACTTCTCCATACTCTCGGATTTACACGTTTCGTGGTGTGGTACGGATATAATGAGCTATATATAAAAAACATAGTAAGTGGCGATACGCCAAGTTTAGATTCGGCGGAATCGAGGATACGAAATTGTTCAGAAACACAGAGAGAGAGTCTATTTTGAATGTATTTATAAATAATTCGTGAAATTTGCGCGTTGAACTTTAACCAAATTTAGATATCCAAGTAACTACTTTTTCTACGTAAATATTGCCCCATTCTTCCTTCTGCTTATACTTTGAAAAGTATGGTCATTGCCAAATATAATTAGCAGGAAGATAGACTTGTGTTCTATAATTAGAATTGTCAGGTCTCTGATCTGCTTGAAAGTATTTTGTCTTGTATTTCCTTCGTCAATAAAACTAAATTGTAAAATATTTAACCCAGCATCCAATATTCAACCCTTTTTTATCGCTTTTATACACTCTTGTACTTAGAAAAAATATTTATGGATCAAACTTTTAGTTCAAACATCTGTATAAAATAATTAACTTTGCAGAAGTAAACCAAACCTTTGTTTTTTTATTTTAATATAATGTTTTCTTAGGTTTACAATGAAAAAAAGGTACAAAAAAGTTAAGTAGTGAAAACCTCACCTCGATGCCTTGTTTCGTTACTTTTTTTAAATTTATTTAGTCGAATATTTTTTAAAATTTGAATTCCGTAAAATTTCCTTTCAAATAATGCATCTGTCACCCATAATTATTTATAAACATTTTTTTTCGCATTATGCATATTTGCATCTACGCAAAATTTATTATATGCTGCGTTTCAATTCCTTGGCTATACTTAGTCTGAAATTCTCTATTTTGCATAAAAGAAGAACAAAATTCCTAGATATTATATAAATTTCCTAATTTCTGCAGTTTCACAAATCTGAATATTTTCCCCTAAAATTACGTAAAAATCTCCAAATCTGGCATCACTGTTCCACGTTCTTTCCTTCTGTTCTTTAATGAGCAATTTGCATATATATTTTTAAATGTCTTGAAATAATCTATAACCGAGCCTATAACCTTATAAGTATTTGGAAAAATGTATTGTCTTGAGTTTTCAATATATCGCAAAAAATTTCGATATTACTCATCATTCTCGCAAAATATTGGTACCGATTTGAAATATGTATGTCGGAAAAATGTCGAAGTGGTTTACAGAAAACACTCCGAGTGCTATTACTATACTTTCATCCTTATCATTCTTTATGGTTTTAGAGAAAGAGAGAAACTATGATTAGATCACTGCGAGTTAATTCTCGTAAACCTCCAATATAAAAGAATATTAAGCAATTTTGATCAAATCGACTCAGACGACAGTTTAATGAGTTAAAAACACAAAATCAAACATCAACAGTTAAACCTACGAATTACTTCACTTAATAATTACTAAAGTAATAATTTCAGTTACCGTACTAGCTTAAATTAACTCTGGCAATTAAAAAAAACAATTATCCGAAAGTTAGATTCCGATATGTCAAACGAAAAGTATCGTTCATCTGATATACCGATATGTTTTGAATATTGTAAACTAGACGGTAGATGGTAGAGAGCCGAGAAGTAGGTTGTGGTCTCGGTCGCACTAAATGACGTCACAATGCGTTCTTATCCAGGAGGCATTAAACAAATTATTTTTTTACCACTGTCGGTTATTGTCGAGTATAGACTGCAAACTTACGCAGTTCTAAAAGAAATTAAATTACCGTACAAGTTGCCTATTGAGAATTTTAATTTATCGACTTCCAGCGGCATGCACTCGATTTCTTTTTTTTTTTAACTGAGACCCGTTCGATACAGAGCTCTTCCTCTTTGTTGCAGCCTCAGTGAATGTTACTTCGCGGGCAAGGGCACAGCCTTGGTACTGCCGGACGCGGAGGCGCACTCGAAGACCTCGCCGGGTTCGGGGGGCCAGCGGACCGGCGGCGAAGGCGGCGGCTCGACCGGCGCCCAGGGCAACAGTAACATCCAGAAGCACCTGCAGTCCATGTTCTACCTGCTGCGGCCCGAAGAAACGCTCAAAATGGTAAGTGGGATTTGTTTATCCGATGTTGATTTATTTACTAGTTTCCGAGAACAAAAAATTTTCAACACTAATAAAAAAATTGACATATACTATACTTATACACACTCGCACTATACTACACATTTAAATACTTGTAAGACTGGCGTTAACAATAAACCACAGTAATAAGAGCACTATGAAAACCACAGTAATATTGAATAAATTGGCATTTATGAAATCAAATCGCCCGAAGCTGCTTAACGCTTACACTGTAAGCGTTAAGCAGCTGTATATGCCTGTAAGCCTTACAGGCATATGGTAAGCTACGTTCCCACTTCATCTTCTTCCGCAATTTTTTGCCATTTATTCTCAATTTGACTCTTGAACCTCAGTTTTTTTTTTCATTATTCGGGTTACGTGCTCATGTAGGAATGTTACTCCATTGCCCAGGAAGCTCTATTAATTGTTGTAATAATGTTGTAAATAAACAGATTTCAAAAAACTTTTTTTTTTGGAAAAATCATTTTTAGCGTGAGTGAGAAATTTTCAAGTGTATGCCTGGTAGTTTTTGGGGTCACTGGTTAAGAATGTTAGGTCAAAAATACAGATTGGCAATCAACAACTGCCAAAGAAATGTTACATTGACGAAGTGACTCGAGACCTTAAAAAATATTGCTGGCAAAAAGTTTTTTTGGCATTGCTGAATCTGAATTTGACATCAGAAATGCATCTTGACTGTAAACAACAATAGATGCTGTCAAAATGACAGAATAAATTGTTTTTTCGGTAAAGTGATCTCTGGAGAGTGGATCTGCGGAATGGGACATTGAAAATAACAATTTGGGTAACGTCAAGAAAGAACAATGTTTCAGGAAAGACCAAATTTGGATTAGTACCTATTTCGTGTTCAGTGTACTCGTATTTCGCGTCCGAAAATTATTATTTTCAGGATATATTTGGAGTTCCCACTCCCAAAAACCTTCGGATATGAACTTTCTCGAAAAACTAATTCACTGTCATTTTGACAGCATCGATATGATAGCTGTCGACTGTCAGGAGGCATTTCCGATATCAGAATCGGAATCACCGATGTCAAAAACTCCTTTACCAGTTACATTATCCAAGATCTTGAGTTGCTTCGTTAATATGACACCGTTTTGGCAGCTGTCAATTGCCAAATTGTATTTTTGACCTCAGACTTGTAATCTGCGACCCCAAAAACAGGGATCCGTGAAGGAAATGTCACTGCGTTCTCTTGAAAAATGTACGTTTCAAAGAGTTAGAAGTGCAAGCGCAAAAAAGTTTTTTTGGATAAGTTTAATACTTCTACTCGTATAAACCACTGCAAGCTTTTAGGTGGTGATGTTACGAACCGGACCTAGCTGATGAGAGTTTTGGAATTTTTTTTTTGTCTAGTAACAGAAAGAATACATTAATACTAAGAGAACTGAAGGAATGTCGTCCTATAACATAAATTACGACATTTCGGGTTATTTTTACTCGACGAATAAAATGATTTACAGAAATCGCCTACTTCCCACGCCACTGGACTTTCGAATGTTTGAAACGGTCATGGCTATTCACGTCATTTACATATTTTTTGCACACCAGATCCACTTCAATCAGGATATAACATGAAATACCCAAAAATTATTTTGACTGAGAAATTGAAATGAAGAAATAATTACAGAATCGTTTCAAAGCATCGCGCAAATAAACCTTTAATGGGAAAGGAGATACCTGAGTTTATAAAAAGCTTGAGCAATTAGTTTATGCTGCTAATAATAACCTTTTTAAAAATATTGCTCCTCGCTCTTTTTTTAATTTTAAACCTATTACTGGTTGTAACTAACCGTGGAACTTCAGATACAGCCATGCTATTATAGGCAGAGCATAAATGTGCTAAATGTAAAAGAAAGTTAAAATTAGAAGCATAATGTACCGTGATTTTGTGATGCTAAATCACCGAAAGTATGTCAGAGTAAAGTACGGTTACTATTTATACTTTTATTTTTTAATAAATTTCAAACGTTTCCTCGAAAAAAAAAGGATCGTGTACAATTATTTTAAATAGTCGTTTTCGTGACTTGAAACTCATTTTTATGATCGATTTGTTAGATTCGGTTTGTCGCAACGATTACCAGCTGTAGTGCATAGAAAACGACGCTGTTATTGTCCTGGTATTACGAAAAGTCTGTCGTTAGGCAATAGGATAGTTCTCTGAATTATTTATGTCTCGATTTATGTATTACAAATATTTATTCGCGGCCGATAATTGTGACATGCATATTCCCGACACACGCTCCGTAAATACTACTGTGGCCTGTTAGATTTCTCGCGTAATATAAAATGGTATCGATAGAGCTTTACATAGTAAATTGTGATCATATGTATATCCGATTTTAATTCAGCCACACGTAGGTAAAGCTGTCGCATTAAGCGAGGGAAGATAATGTGCAGAGAGTGAAAAATAAAAGCAACTACATAACACAAGCGCAGGTCAATATAGTAACGTGGTAGGTCAGTAATCAAATCAGCGGTGACTGTGCAATTGTTTGTTGCATAACGAATGTTTTATTTTGTGCTAGTGACCGTGTGTACTGATATATGTCGCATAATAGTCAATAAATTTGATGCAGTGTACAATTGAAGTTAAAATGACGTTCGGCAAATGTTAAAAGCTTTAATTTTATCACATTTTCGTGTTTATAGTCTATAAAAAATTAGTATTTTAACTGTTAGTTCATTTTAGGCGTAAATTACAGGAAGAAGTTAATTATATTGTTCTCAATGATACTACACTTTATTCAGTATTCCTCGAATATAGGTTTGCGATTCGAAATTAAACTAATCATTGCGCAAAATCAAATTTTTGTTGTAATTCATATGATATGATGATTAAAAAGTAAATGATGAAATAATGCTGTATGGTTGACTTTTTTTATCAACATTTCGACACAATACAGACATGCATACTGCCTCAGAAGCATTTGAACTAACAGCAGAATATCTGGATCAGTTCGGTCAAATTCTTGAGGCAAGCTTTTTACTGCCGCAGCTCTTATTACTGCGTTACTATATTTTAGAATGTAACTAACATAATGTAACATAACACAATAGACATAATATAGACAAGTCATGTTGACTTGAAATTAATATAATTGTAGTATATGCGGACTTAGAATTTACAGGATGTGGGCAATATCTCGGATTTATACAGGATACGTTAAAATAACATGACATCCATTGTACATGAAGCGTTTTTTAAAACCAAAATCTGGTTTATACGGGAATTTTATGAAAATATATATATTTATTAAATTATAAACCGCGTTATCAGGGAATATATCGCAACTAGAAGGCTAACAAACGCAAATGGACAATAATACGAATTGCGATAGATCCAATGTAGAATGGACATGGAATTGTACATCCAGCTACTGATCTATTGATGTAACAGCGTTCTCACGTATGAACCTGCATAATAACCAATAAATTTAACGGATGACGCCATACAGTTCGTGTTCACTTTTAATTAATGTCTTTTTCTCCTATGCGTTATGAGGAGAAAGCAATGAGCAATTTGTGAATCTATAACAGAACGGGAAGTTGCGGTATTATCAGTTTGCACTTGGGGTTTACACTTTAATGACTTAACCGTTTATTAAATACGTTTTCGTTTACTTTTACTTTTATATTTATGGTAGAATTCTCATAGCGACAGAGTTCTACGCATGTCACATGTTTTAGCATTTATAATTTACTTTCAGTTGTCAAGATTGTGCATCAGGAAAAACCTGAATATGCTTTCAGTCTTGTTCCCGTGTTGGACTTATCAAAAGTAAAAACTGTTACAATGGAGAAATGTACATTTTGTAGTCGTTCCAGTTAAAGGACAAAGCTATAGGATAAGAATGTTGTGGGGAACAAAATGTACATTGAGCTAATTTTGTTCAACAAATTACGGTGCTGTGGTTTAATTTTTGATATCGGATACATGTTGACCTTCAATTAATTAAGTTCCGTTTTCACGTTAATATTTTTCAATATAAAGGGCATGTTGTCAATTAGCTTTTCGTATTTTCTTCCGTACCTTGGGTGTGTGTAGGCGCTATTATTAATAAACATGTAGATAGTAAGCGTGGACGCAGATAATTCTGTGTATACGTTGGAACAAGACCAGTAGCTAGCAGTTTATTAATAGACAAGAACACAAGTCGATAAATTCCTAAATAACAGAATCTACCTACGTAATTGTCGATTGCGACATTCCCGTTTCAATCTCAAGTTCAACAGGGTGTGCGGTTTATTTGTTGTTATTTGCGTTATCTACAGTAATTTACAGCTACTGTTGTATTGTCGCTCGTAAAAATCAAAATATAAAAGACAAGAAAGGCAGCGCAAAATTAAATAACAGTTTGTTAATAACTTAACGAATTTACTGTACATTTAACGACAAAATATCTGAAACAAAATGTAATATCATTTATTATTAGTCTACCAAAAGATTCATAATTAAAGCTTATTATTTAGCTTTTAATGGGAAATTAATGTTGTGCTATTTTAAACTGCTATTAGATAATGTAGGATTGATTGATTTTTGCTTAGGTAGTTTTAATTACAGAACCCATTTTCTGCTTCTAAGAAGAAGCCATATTTTTCGTACATCAATAATGTTTCGAGTAGCTAGATTGATGTAAGTAAAATTAGGAATGCGTAATACCCACATCAGCAGTCATTAAAAATTAAAACTTAATTAGAAAACGTATTTACACAATGATATAAGCTTTGTAAAGTTAGTGTTAGATTATTTGTTTAAATTATTTACATCCAAGCAATACCATAATCTTCAGTATATTGACGATTGATTGTACGAGGTATGATGTAACTTTTTTTTAATTATTTTAGTTGAATATAAAATGATTTACAATAAATAAAATTTGATTTCTGATACGAATTATTTTGGAATAGCTGTTTCTACTATAGCTGTTTTGCTTTGTATTCGATGACATATATTTTTT